AATCTCCTTGTCTTTAAAAGGTTTTTGCTTATACTATCATACATAATAAAATCCAGTAAGATACAACCTATTTGGACCATTGGAGACAGAAGGACAAAAGCTAGATGAGACTTCAAAACAAGATGATACTAAATCAGTATTACCTATTAAGATGTCATTTTCTCCAAAATAGCTGTTCCTATCATCCAATCTTCTCTGCCTCATTTCTGTTGAGCTCTTATTCTGTCAGTAGCTGTCAGTTTGTCTTCTTCACTTTGTTCTCTGCTCCATTCGTTGTGGCCTCCATTATTTCTGGATTCTTTGTATTTTTCTTTTTTTAGAATATCCTGCAATACTCTCTGTAGAGTTGAATTGGTGGTTGCAAATTCCCCCAGTTCCTCTTTATCCTGGAAGCACCTTGTTTTTCCATCAATTTCGAGGGACAGTTGTGCAGGATATCTCAATCTTGGCTGGAGATTATTATCTTTCAAAGCTTGAATTATTTCCCCCCACGCTCTTCGTGATTTGATGGTTTGTGCAGAGAAATCTGCTGTAATTCTGATGGGTGCTCCCTTGTAAGTGGTCTGCTTCTTGTCTCTGACAGCTTTTAATATTCTGTTCTTGTATTGAATTTCTGGAATTTTTATTATTATATGCCTGGGTGTTGCTCTGTTTGGGTTGTAGGTGGCTGGGGTCCTGTATGCCTCATACATCTGAGTATCTTTACCTTTTGCTAAATTAGGAAAATTCTCCTGGATTATTTCTGTGAGTAGCTTTTGTAGTTCATTTGTTTGTGTCCCTACTTCTTCTTTTATGTTCTTAATCCTTAAGTTATGGCTCCTCTTATCATCTTCTTGTCTTTGTATTATTGCTGTTTGTTTCTTTGTTATTTTTAAGAAGTTTTTCATTTCATTCTCCCATATTACAATTCTGCCCTCCAGTTCAGATAGTCTGTCCTTAGTTTCTTTCAAGCTGTTATGCCAGTCTTCGATAGACTTCTTAGTTTCTTGGTAGTCCCTTTGAACCTGCTTCATGTATTCTATGCTTTCCCTGTTTTCTCCATCAAACACTTCTCCCCTCTTTTTCTGTTCTTCCATTCCACCATCTGTTTTTTCTTGGGTGGTGCTTAGTATTTCTCTAACTATTTTGCATACTTCTAGCTTCAGGTCGTTGATAACTTCATTCCTGAATTGGTCTATGAGGCTCTCTATATGGCGCCTTATGTGTAATGGTGCGGTGTCTGTTATTGCCTGTTTCTCAGAATTGGGGGCCGAGGAGCCTTTCTTGTTGCTGCCTCTTCCCATATTCTCTGTTCCTTATATATGCAAGCTTATATGAGAGGCCTAGCTTCTCTCTCTGTCAGCCACAGCCCGATCGAATTGCGCCGGTTAGGTGTTTCCACTCACTGCTGCACACCAGGCAGCCTACGCGGGGGCCCGCCCCTCCCGGCCTCCGTCAGGCTCTGGGATCTGGGTTGGGCCAGCCTACGGGGTCCGCCGGCAGCGTCACACAGGCCAGGCACTTTTCACCAATCCCGCCCGACAGGGGAATGTGTGGCTGGAGTCGCCAGGGCGCCCTGCTCCCGCAGGACTGCCCGGGCCCAGAAAGTCCGCTGGAGTCAAACTGTGGTGGAGTGTCAGTTTCTCTCACTCACCTCGCCACAAGTCAGAACATGCCTCCCTGCCTGTCCTGTTTTCGACTCCGTTCACAGACTCCCGTTCTCAGAGTTTCCGTGCGTCTCTCTCCTTGCCGAGCCGACATAGAGGCAGCCAGCCACCGCGCGGCGGGAAACCCAAATGGCGTGGGGTCCAGCCTCAGCAGCGAGGCTTTTCTGTTCCTGTTTTAGCACCAGGACTGCACTCCAAGTTGGTTTCTCTCAGCCGAGTTCGTTCCTGAGTCAGCAGAGCATAACTCCACCTGCTTATGTCTCTTTAGTCCGCACCATACCTGGCTTCTGAGCCTAGTTTTCAGAGAGCCTCCGGTAGTTGTTATCTGTCCGCCATGTTCTCCCGGAAGTTTCGTAATTTTTGTTTTCAATCCAACACATTTTTAAAAACTCACGAGAATAGTGTGTAACATTCACTTGGTTATTGACAGTTCATTCCTGCTGCTCTTCCTTCACTGGTGATGTTTCTGCAGACAATGAATTATTAGTTTTACTTCATCTGAGAATACCTTTGTTTCACTTCCATTCCTGAGGCATACTTTTGCTGTATAGGGAATCTCGGACTGATAGCTCCTTTCTTTCACCACTTTATTTTTTATTTTTTATTTATTTTTTTGGTACCGGGGATCGTACTCACAACCCTGTGCTCTCACCACTTTAAAAATGTTATCATATTTCTTTCTAGTCCCCATGACGTATAAAGAATAATTCAGCCATTCAAATTGTCTTTCCCTTCTTAGTGATGTATTGTTTAAGATCTTTCCTTGTTTTTAGTTTTGAGACGACTGATTATAAAGTGTCATGTGTGGATTTCTTTGGGTTTATCCTCTCGAATCTGTAGGTTGTTCTGGGGTTGTACTATGGTTTGTGTCTGGATGTTCCCCCAAAGCTTCCTGTGGTCACCGGGTGGGGCAAGCTTTTCGGAGGTGGTTACATTTAGAGTTTGCGATTGATTTGTGGGCTCATGGTGGGATTAAGGGCCTGAGTGCTACGCCCACCCTAAGGCAGGAAGACTGTGCAACGTAAAGGACAGAAAGCAGCTCGCTCTCTTCCTGCTTTGCACCACCAAGAACCGTTGCCTCTGCCACGCCACCTGCCTAGAGCCAGCTAATTATGGACTGAGACCTCTGTAAACCGTGAGCTAAGTAAATCTTTCCTCATTTATGCTTGGGTGTTGGGTACTTTATCTCAGCAATGAGAGAAAAGTAACTAAGACAAGTCGGTTTGAGTTTTTGTTTTGTTTTAATTTCAGATTTTGTCTGCTTGTGGTACTAGAAATTAAACCCAGGGTCTTATACTGAGCTACATTCCCAGCCTGGTTTTTTTTAAACTTTTTTTTTAAGTCAGGGTCTCCCTAACTTGCCAAATTGCCCACCTTGGCTTGAATTTGTGATCTTGCTGCCTTGACCTCCCAGAGAGCTGGGATTACAGGTGTGTGTCCCCACCTATGTCTAACTGATAGGTTAACACCTTTCACAAACTTTGGAAAACTTCAGCCATTATTTCTTCAAAAGCTTTTTTGTGTGCTGTATTCTCCCTAATTCTAGAATTCCAGTGACATGAACATTAGACCTTTGGTAGCCCACAGGTCCCTGATGTTCTGTTAACTTTTTTTCTCTAGTGGGTTTTCTTTCTGTTGTTCAGTCATTTTTTTTTCTTGTTGTTCAATCTGAATCATTTTTATTGAGCCATGGCCACATTAATGAACTATTTCTATCTCTCTCTCACCTTCTCTCTCAAAAAAAATCCTACTATTCCCCTGAGATTATCCAGTGAGATTTTACTTTAGTGACTGTGTTTTTTTTTTTAATTTTCTAATTGTTCATTAGAGGAATAAACAGAATAACCCGTGGTAGGAGATAGGTTGGCAAAATAGACCCAGAACTGAACTTTCAGGGTCTTGCATGTAATAGTGGAGAACCCAAAACTTACTGCAAAAATGCAGAAGAAAATCACTGGGGTAACTGGGCATAATGGTACAAGCTTGTAATCCAATCCCGAGCACTTGGGAGGCTGTGGCAGGAGGATTGTTGTGAGTTCAAGACCAGTCTGGGCTACAAAGTGAGCTCAAGGCCAACCTGAACTGCACAACAACACCCTGTCTCAAAAAGACCCCTCCCCACAAAAAGGAAAAGTAATGTCCTGCATGATTTTAAATACTGCCTTAGCACTGTTAGGGCTGAATCCAGAGAGGCAAGAATGCTGTCCATAGCCCTGTGAGGAAGTACTGTTTTGGCTCAAGAAGAGACTTCAGAGACTTGCAGAGACTTCAACTTGGTAATCCCAGCAGTTCTGAGCACCTCTAGTGGGTCCTGAACTCTGCCTGGAAGAGCCTGAATCTGGGTGTGGGGTGGGGGGTTAGCAGGGGTTCCAGATCCTCATGCTTTCCAAAGAAACTGCTTCTGACTCCCGTCACTGAGGCAGCTGGGCTTCCTCCTGGGTTGGTGGCTACGGTGATATCAGCAGTAAGGGATGGATCTCCACAAGAACTGTTTGTCACGCTGCTACTGAGTATAAAAACAAGAATCTGCCATTCTCCTGCAGGTCAGGGTTCTTGAGTAGCTTTACATCTAAGGAAAAAACCAGGAAGCATGTGATCAGGGGAAGCTTGCTGAATCACTGAACCTCAAGATTTGCCCAAGTCTGGGCTGGGGATTTAGCTCAGCGGCATAAGCACCTGCCTTACAAGCAGGCAGTCGTGAGTTCAATCTCTGATGCCGATTAAAAAAAAAAAAAAGATTTGCCCAAGTGGAGACTGCTGTTAAAGCTTCCTGTGTACTGGAGGGGGCATCTCGCAAAGGGGGTCAAATTTGCAATCCCAAATCCAGTTTTGGAGCTTCTTAGAGCTGTTTTCCTTCTCTGAGAAAAACATTGAGCAGATCGAGACTTCCCTGCCCACCCCTTTACCTTTCTTTACCCTACAGGTAGGCAGTGCGAGCACAAACTGCTACCTGATCTTAAAAGTTGGTTTTCATGGAAGCTCTTTATTTGAACGTAAGGGCCTTGCAGATAACAATGAAAGGTCTCAACTTGATGCAAAATGCAGAAGAAAATCACTGGAGACAGAACAGTGGGCTTCAACTGGAATTTCTAATGTTCAATACTCAAAGCCAGAGCAGAGGGGACATTTGAGGAGGGAATAAGGATAGTGTAGCTCTTTGGTGCAGGAGGAGCCCAGGTTCCTAATTCCCTCCTCTCTCCAGATGTCATTAATAACATGAATGCAAGGCCCACAGCTGTGCTATAATCTTTCCCATCAACTTCCCTCTAGTCATACTTCGTGATAGTTTTTTTCCCCTTTGGGGGAAGGAAATTCCTCCTTGTGGATCCTAGGTTCAACAGATTTGAAGACCTATTTGCTTTTCTGAGGGTGTTTCAACATTATTCAATCTTTATTAAATGAGTACCAAGAATAAGGGCATTATTAGTGTGGTACACAAATATCATTTTGATAATTATACCTCTGGTAGACTGAAGTCTTAAATGGAAGTCATGGGCACCCATATTTGTGCTTAACTCACCGAGGGTCCCTTAAGTTCCCTTTTATCTTGGAGCTTTATACTTCTTAAAGCTGCATCACACATACATTATTTCTATAAAGCATTTAAAAATAACACGTGTAGCACACAGTCAGTGATGGTCATATAAGCTTACAATTCCTGGACTTCTGGGGAAATGGCAGAGTGGCAAGCAGAGAAGCAGCCTCTTTGAGATTCGATGTGCAGATGCTGAAATATAGCAGCATGAGGAAGAGAAGTGCACCCTGAGGACCCAGCAAGGACCGGAAAAGGGAAATGAAGCCCACGGGGAAAGCAAAGAAGACGGGTCAACACAGAAGAAGGAGCGACAGGTGTCCCTTTCTCCCTGAGCTCTGACTCATGGTGTGGGAGAGGTCAGCTCAAACCTGCAGACACAGGCCGACTACTGGCAACCCCAGAGGCCTCCATGGAGAAACGCACCAGGAGAATGGACAGCAGATGCAGTGGGCTGCAATGACTGGGTTATTTGGATTCAGATGACCCCCTGGAGAGGGCCATTGGCCAGTAGCCATCTTGGAGAGGGGCCACCCGAACTCTGAACTCTGAGGAGCTATGGGTTGGCTCCATTTGGTGGCTCCCAGTGTCAGGGACACCTAGTGAGGTCCATACTGGACAAGATTTTTCCCTAAAGATATTCTGCAGTCCATTATAGCGTATGGGGGGGGGGGCTTAGTAAGTGGCAGTCTTGCTGGCTGAGAAGCAGAGTTGGGAGTTCAGAAATGTCTGAGCAACCAGAAATTGAGGAAGAAATTTGGGAAATGAGAAATCTAAATCCCCACACATTCCCTTCAAAACATTAGCTATGTTCTAAATACAACTTGCATATGGTGAGGTATCACGTAACCTAATGGGAAAGCCAAATGTCTGAACAGGGATTTTGGCAGCCACTACAGTTTTTGGGGAACCAAGCCTGGAGTTCAGAATCCGCAAAATTAGAGGGCCCTGGTAAACGCTGTTTACACTGAAATCTTCAGAAGACTATACCTTAGATGTTAAGTACCAAGTCCAAGGACTAAGCGGTATAGCCAATGATTAACACAGAAATGAAAGACTCCTGCCTTAGCCAGGCTTCCATAGGGGCACGGATTTCAACAGAAAGCTAATTGTCTGCCAAAACAAACTGGACACTCTTTAAAGAAAAGTGATGATAATGAATGTGGAAAAGCGCAGAGATGCACAATATGTTTTGTGGGTCAGCTCCATATGATTGGAAAAGGTTTCAGTTGTATGGGGATACAATGAACACCAAGAATAATAAAAATCAGCTAAATTCCTTGAGTGCCTACTGCTCTTCACAGTTCACATTTAATTCTTAAATCTGTGAGGTAGGCGCAGTGCCCGCCCACACCTTACATACAGCTCACTTCTCCAAGCTTTGGGACTAGGCTCATGTCAAAAAAGCGGAGGGCCTGAAATTCCAAAAGGTGTGGGTGGAAAGTGGCCTAAGGGAGGGGGAAATTGAGGAGGCGTCCCAGGGGCAGGCCCCGCTGGCTGCTGTCCAATGCGGAGGAGGGCTTTGCAGATCCTGCTAGCCAGCGGGTGGAGAGCGATCGCCCGCACAACCATCCGGCTTCAGTAGCTACGTTCCCAGAGGCCAAGAGAATGCAGCGCCTGCTGTGGCCTGGGAGCTTCGGGGGAGCCTCAGGCTAATCCCCACTTTCCTAATGTCAACAGCTGCCCAGGGGGCTGCAGCGACTTTAGTCTCCACGGTCAGAAGGAAATGGGGGGGGGGGTGCGGGTAGGGTCAGAGAGCATTTGCAGGAGAAGTCGGGGGGCCTCAAGGCTAGGTGTCTACGAGGGAAAATAATGTGTTTGTGGGAATAAGGACAGATGGGGGGCAGCGTCCCGAAGAGGCACAGGTCTCGGCGTAAGTCGTCTGAACCTAGGAGGAACCAGGCAGCGGAAGATTGGATATTCGGGGGAGGACGGAAGCACGAATGGGCAGAGCGCGGCCCCAGGAGAAGCCAGACGCGCTGAGGGTCCCCGGGATGAGAGGGCCGGAGCCAAGAATGCGCAGGGGACGGAGCGCTAGTCTTCCCGCATCTGGGTCCTGGCGGGTGAGAAGAGAAAGGTTAGTTGTGACCCGATTCCTGATAAGGAGAGAAATGCTAGGCTGGAGTAACGCAGAAGAACAGAGTGGAAAGGGGCCACCCTCCTTCCTCCCTCTCCGCCCTGCGCCATCGGGGTTGACCTGGCGCTGACTCACTTCGGAACGGTGGGAGCCGATTGCGCAGGCTCCCGAGTTCCTGCGCCCACCATTGAGGAGCTGAGCGCAAACTCGTGCTCTGACGCCTACTCTCCCCACCAAGTCTTGGGTGCAGACGCCAATGCAGAGGATTCGCAAAGAACTGTGGGAGGAGGTGAGGAGGGGCGGAGGGGACCCGACGGCCACGCCTGGGGGGGAAGGTCCGCGCGCTCTCAGCACCACAGACAGCGCCCCTCCCGTGACCGCTGCCTTTGAGAACTACCCGGCCTCTGCGAGGCTCTTTTTCTTCCCAGCAGAGAGCTGAAACTTCCACTTCTGGAGGGCAGGGAACCATTCACTTCACTAGAGAGAATCTCTTCTTTTTTTGTAGGTGGGGGTACCTGGAATCGAACTCACAGCCTTGTGCTTGTCAGGCAGGCGCTTATGCCTGCTGAGCTATATCCCAGGCCCAGAATTCCCTCTTCTTGAAACCTGCCCAGACTGACAAGTGGTAATTCCACTGCAGAAAAAAATAGACTCTCCTCCAGTCTGGCCCTGTCTATCTGGAACAGGGGAGGTGTGCTTCATAGTAGGGGCCACCTTCCTTGATCCCCACTCTTCCCCTATGTACAGCAGGGCACTGTGGCTTGCAGAAGACCTACCCAGACCCTCAAGCCTTATAAATAACCATACAGTCTGCCTTCTGCGACCACGGTTCCACACGAGGGAGCTCTGTTTCCTCGAGTTCAAGCAATTAAAGATAAAAATATCTGAGATATGTACAGATGTTTTTCCTGTCACGATCTCCTAAACAATACAGGAAACAACTGATAAGATTTACATTGTGTTAGGTGTTATAAATAGTAAGAGATGATCTGAAGTATATGGGAAAATGTTAATAGGTAATATACAAATTACTCAGCTAGTTTGTATAAGGCACTTGAGCACCTTGGATTTTGGTACGGGATGGACAGTCCTGGAACCGTCCCTTGCAGATACTGAAGAGGTGGTGCTTTCTCCTGAGGATTCCAGTCCTGCTCCATGACCCTCCTGGCTTCCAAGTCGTCCCTAAGCTCAGCTCACCTGCTTCCCTGTACTCTGCGGTGTCCATCTGAGTATCCATCCCACGTGGGTAGCTTTCTGAGCCACTGCTCGCCCAAGGTTGGTTCTTACCTGCAAGCTGACACCAAGGGCGAATGGAGGCTCAGAGGCTGACAGGCAGGGCAAGGGACCACAAGGGAAGAATCAAGGATTGGAAGATGGGGAAGGAGCTCAGTGCAGAGAGCTGAGACCGAGGAATCCAGGAGTGCTGGTGAGGCGAAGTTAGCTCCTTTTTTTCAGCTGGGATACAGCAGGTTCTGGCCAAGGTCTTTCTTGAGACCACTGTTTTGTACTTAGATGGCCAGGGCCAAGCAGATTCGGGGCAGCTCTGGCCCCTAAAAGGATTTGCTGCTCCATTCTTCCATCACCTACAAGTCCTACTCCACCAGCTTATATCCCATGGTCAGTAAGGGAGGACAGAGGATGAAGCCTGCTTTAGAGTAGAAGACAGTTGTGAGGAGTGCTCTATTTTGAGGACAGTTTTTTTCTTCTTTGGATGTGTCTACCTGAAACTTTCTTGCCACTCACCTCAGTGGAGAAGGGAGCAAAAGAGGATGGTGCTACAGGCTAGGTAGGCTGTTTGCCCCAAACATGGAAGAGCCCATCAGAAGCTTCTAGAAGAAATCTCTGGAAAAGGCTAGCATCCAACTCCTTGGGGCTAGTCCCAATTCCTGGCACTGTGGAGTGTTTTCAGAGTAGGCACCAATTAAGTTCTCAGCCAGAAGAATATGTACACATCTCAGTCTCTAAGTAGGAAGCTGGGAAAATTTTATGACAAACAGAGGGGAAGAATAAAAGGGAGTGGTGAGTCTATCAGAGACAGATGGCTGAACCTTCCTTAGAGCAGTTTAGTGAATGAGGGGGAGACTTGGATACAAAATCTGCCTCGAGTTCCTGTTCCCACTCCTAATGCCTAATACATGTCCAATGCCTTAGATCACTAATTCTAAAAGAACACCCCCAACAACACCAGTATCAACAGAGAACTTGTTAGAAACATTAATTCTTAGTCTTTACCCCAGACTTACTGAGTCAGAAACTCTGGTTATGGGGAACAATCTGTTTCTACAAGCTTTGCAAAATATTGTAGTGCACACTGGAGCTTGAGAATTGCTGCCTCAGAGTTTTCTGAGCACTTTGCATCTCTGATTTCATTTAATCCTCACCATACCATCAAGTGAATCAGCAGAAACTGTCACCATCATGTGTATTGAATACGACATGCCAAGCACTATGCTAAGCAACTTTCATACACCATCTCATTCAATTATCTCCACAAAATATGATCCTTCATGCACTTGAGCAAGAAGTTGCTTGGGTGTCAACTCGCCCTATTCTTTCATCCTGGAAGTCTGTTCTGGAAAGATGACATCGTTCAACATCTGATGACCCAAAATATGGAGCACATGAGCAGACTCTACGCCCATGATCCATACCTGAAGGGCAGGAAGTCAGTTCTCCCTACTAAAATGTATATGAGGCTTGTAGTTGGTCCGTGCTCTCCGGAAGATGGAACAGGAAAGGAATGAATACAAAAACTGCAAGTCCTTGCTACCAGGAGCACGAAACAGAATGTTTCCAAGGTCCTATCTGGGGTCAGCTGGTACAATTCTGTGATGATCCAGTAAACCTGCTAGTGCATGTGTTAGTAAGTCATCCTGTCTTGTCATCCCTGTTGATAGAACTGTGGAGGGGAGGAAGAGGAGGAGGAGGAGGAGGAGCGGCGGCGGCGGCTGAAAAGATAAGAAGTATAAAATATAAGTAACCTTTATTTTGGGAATGTGGGGAGAGACACCCCCGACCCCCTGGGGCGTGGCATCTCCACCCCAGAGCCGGTGATCTCTCCGTGGAACACGTGGAGTGAGACACATAAGTAGCCTCGGCCTGGGGTGGAACCCAAGGGGCATTAGGGATGCACAGGTAGCCCGTTGGTCTTAGTTTGGTGCCAGAGGTAATTCCTAAGGGTGAGGGGAGATAGGAGCTCCTTGGCTTTCCTGGCTACAGTATCCAGCCTGGGCCAGCAACCCTTTCACCTGTCTCTTCCAGGGTCAAGCAAGAGTAGAAACTTTGGGCCTGGGGATTTAGCTCAGCGGTACAAGCGCCTGCCTTGCAAGCAGGCAGTTGTGAGTTCAATCCCTGGTACCGATTAAAAAAAAAAAAAAAAAGAGTAGAAACTTTGACTTTGCCCAAGGTGGGATTCATGTGTCTTCCCAAGAACTGTGAGGTCCTGATTGTGTAGTTCATTGCTTTCCCTCATTCTTTCCTGCCTCCTTCCTGTTTCTCTCCTCACAGAGCCCAGTGCCCAAGGTGAATAGAGACCAGTGCTTTTTCCTCCAAAGTGAATGCAAAGGTCCTGAAACAAGAGGTGGCCAACACTGCCAAGGTGAGGAGGACTTGCTTTCTCCTGGGAGGGTGGAATCACCAAAGACCTGCTTAAATGAGAGAGGCAGGGATGAAAATGGGAATGGATTCTGTGGTGAGAACAATTAACAGAAGGGTCTTTAAAAAAAAAAAATTTATTAAGAAGAGTCTTTTCTTTCCCAGCCAAAGAGTAACTCTGCTTTCCTGTATCTCACAGAGTATCCATAGGTGTGGGAAACACCTCCAGTGACTCCCCTTGAATGCAAAACAATTACTGTGACTATTTGGAGACTCATTTCCTTATATGGATATGTAAAAAGCTGGCTAGGGTATTTCCTTCTCCTGCAGTTGGCTCTAAGCATTGCAAATAAGGCTAGCCAGGTGCTAACATGCAATCTCTATAACCAACAGAAAGTTCTGTTTCCTCGCATAATCAATACAGATGTGTACAGGATATGAGCATGTGAAATGTTAGAGCAAATAACTCCGGGAATGTCAACTGGGTAAGAGCCTCAAGATAAGAGGCTATGACTCCCCAGGGCACAAGAGTTAACCTATCAGAAACTGAAGTAATAGCCCCCAAAACAATTGCACTGCTACCTTAACTGGATTATGTAAATTGATCATTCTGCATTTCTTTATCTCTGCAATTTACAGAGATGCCAATCTTGCACCTGGCCAGTCAGCTCAAGTTACTCATGTAATTCCCACCATCCTCACTGTCATTCATACCTGAGCCACCCCTTTCTTCACAAGATAATAAATTCTGGGAGAGGCCTAGGATGAATGCCTTTGTCTACATGTCCTCACATGCCCTTAACTTGGAATATGTCTTGGTATCTTTACTCTTGCCATGGGTTGCATTGGTGGTGGTAGATTGGAATTAATTTGCTGGGATTTCAATAATGTCTCAATGAAATTACAAATATAACATTTTGGATTGTGAGGAAACTAGAAAGAGGATTACAATACTTGAATCTTATTCTTGAAACCAAAAAAAAAAAATCCCTAGCACCTTGGAGATCAGAGCTGGAACGGTTAGAAAACAAGAACCAACTGGATAACATTGATAAGTCCCTTGACTCAGTAGGAAGCCAGCCTGGATCCCCAGTTTCCAGAGCTAAGGTAATCCACAGACCGGATGGCAATGGGCCTTAAGTATTATAACAGACAGGATCCGCTAGAGGAACAGAATCAATAGAACACACATGTACAATTATGCAAGGGGTTGTATTGTGCAGGCTTACAGGTTAGAGGTGGGAGAATCCACACTAGTCATCTGCATTCTAGAGAGACACAGAACCCAGTAGTTGCTCCGCCCAGGAAGATGAAAGCCACAGACCCAGGGAGGTCAGTGACACAGCACCAGCAGGAGGTGGAAGGGCTGGCAGCTCTGTAGAGCCACTGGTGCAAGTGACCCTTAAAGGCTGACGAGGAGACCAGTGTCTCCTGGCAATGAAAAGACCATAACCTTTCAGAATTGGTCACACTTCCTTCTTCTTTCCATTTGCATTCCACACAGGCCAGAAGTCTATTGGTTGGAACCACCCACATGTGGGATGAATCTCTGCTCCCCACCCCCCAGACGCACCCAGAACTAGGCTTTACTCTGATCTGCTAGGTATTTCTTTCTTTCTTTCTTTCTTTTTTTTTTTTTTTTTTTTTTGTCTTTTTCCTTTTTATCGGTACCGGGGATCGAACTCATGACTGCCTGCTTGCAAAGCAGGTGCTTATGCCACTGAGCTAAATCCCCAGCCCCTTGCTAGGTGTTTGTTAATCCTTTGAAGGTGACATATTAAGATTGACTGCAAGAGGGGCTGGGGGTTTAGCTTAGCGGCATAAGCACCTGCCTTGCAAGCAGGCAGTCGTGAGTTCGATCCCCAGTACCGATAAAAAGGAAAAAGACCAAAAAAAAAAAAGATTGACTGCAAGGATCTAATGCTGTCTACAGGGTCAATTGTGCTGAACCAAAAGATATATACAAACACTCTAGCAGAAACTGTTCTGAATAGAGGGTAGTCCATGGAGATCTAAAAGCACCACTGTGGTTCTCATGGATACCAGGCGGTGAAGGGAGTGGTGGCTACTGTCTGTTTTATAGTAGTCTAGTGAGATTGTGAACCCACTCTCGAGTTGTTTTCCTCAGTGTCAGACAGTGTGGTGGAAATAGATATAGTTAGCAATTGACGACAGTATGTCCTCTGAGTTTCTGACTGTGGAATAAGTTATTCTGGCAGGAAAGGCCCAGTGAAAACACCTGGTATCTGCCATGGTTTGAATGTGATTTTTCCTTGGTTGAAGACTTGGTCCCCGGCCCCCACCAAAAAAAAAAAAAAGACTTGGTCCCAATTTGGTGATGTTGCTATTGTGGAACCTTTAAGAAGCAGATCCTACTGGAAGCTAATTAAGTCATGAGTTTCCATCCTTATAAATGGATTAAAGGAATCTTTTGGGAGTCAGGTCTCATTGGAATGGATTAGTTCCTGTGAGAGATCAGCTAGTTACAAAAAAGAGCCCCTCCCTGGTGTGTGGCTTCCCTTTTTCCCATGTACCTACTTCCATGTGTGCCTCCACCATCAGGATGCTATCTACATCCCTGTCAAAGCCAAACAGATGCTAGGGTCATGGTCTTGAATCTCCAGAACTGTGAGTTAAACAAACCTTCTCTCTTTATAAAGTATACAACCTTGGGTATTTTGTTATAGAAATGAAAAAATAAGTTAAAATGTTTCCCCTCCAAAAGTATGTATCAAAATTAATTCTGCATCCCTAGAAGAATATTAGAGATTTATAACACCATCAAGGACTTGGAAAAGGTAGCTATTCTTATCATGTCTTCATTGAATTTTCCCATTTATCCTTGAAATGGATGGATCCTATGCAGTTGTGAGTTCAATCCCTGGTACCGATAAAAAAGAAAAAGGAAAAAAAAAAGGGGGGGCTGGGGATTTAGCTCAGCGGCATAAGCACCTGCCTTGCAAGCAGGCAGTTGTGAGTTTGATCCCTGGTACTGATAAAAAAAGAAAAAGGCAAAAAAAAAAAGAAAGAAAAAAGAAATGGATGGATCCTGAAGAATAACTACATGGCCAGTTGATGATGCTAACTACAGTTCTATTTCCTGATGGTCATTATCTAGAGCAATGGAGAACAGCTGGAGGTATAAGAGGATATGACTTTCCTCCAAAATCTCAGATACCTGCACTGTGACAATCTAGCTAGGGCTTGCCAGAGGAGTCTCATGACTTCTTGGTCCCCTTGGTCTGTCCAATACGGTGACCACTAGACACATGTTGGTACTGAGCCCTTGAAAGATGACTAATGTGGGCTGGGGATTCAGCTCAGTGGCATAAGTGTCTGCCTGGCAAGCACGAGGTTTTGAGTTTGATCCCCTGTATGGCCAAAAAAAAAAAAAAAAAAAAAAAAAGATGACTAATGCAAATTAAGATGGGCTGTAAACATAAAATGCACAATAACTCTGATTTCAAACTCTCAGTATTAAAAAATAAATACGTGGGGCTGGGGATTTAGCTCAGCGACATAAGCGCCTGCCTTGCAAGCAGGCAATCGTGAGTTCGATTCCTGGTACCGGTAAAAATACAAAATACCAAAAAAAAAAAAAAAAAAAAAAAAAAAAAAAAATAAATACGAACTACCTCAATAATTTTTTGTAATGAGCATATCTTAAACTATTCTTTTTGCTATTAGGTTAATAAAATATATTGTTAAGATTAATTGCTCCTGGGGCTGGGGATTTAGCTCAGCGGCATAAGTGCCTGCCTTGCAAGCAGGTGGTCGTGAGTTTGATCCCCAGTACTGAAAAAATGAAAAAGACAAAAAAAAAAAAAAAAAAAAGATTAATTGCTCCTAGGGCTGGGGATTTAGCTCAGCAGCATAAGAACCTGCCTTGCAAGTAGGTGGTCGTGAGTTCGATCCCTGGTACTGATAAAAAAAAGATTAATAGCTCCTGTTTCTTTTTAACTTATGACTAGTAAACAATTTTAAGGTACATGTAGAAGACAGAGCGAGAAGAAAAGAATCTTACCACAATTAGAAACAGGCAATATGACCGGCGCAGCCCCCCAATGAGACAGAGGACGCTCTTGTGGGTAACAGGTAACTGCCGCTTTATTTACGCGGGCTCTGGTTTATATATTCGGCCGTGACCAATCACAGGCTGCCACGAGGAAGCAGGGCGGGAATGGGACGCAGGCTCTGGCTAATATATCCAGCTGTGGCCAATCAGGGGTTGCCACAGAGTTGGCACGGGGCGAATACGGAGTGAGCACGAGGTGCGCACAGGGTGGCTAATTTAGAGAGGGACATAACGCATTGCGGAAGCTGACGTGGTCTTATCGTCCCGGGCGGGGTGTGTTGAGCGCCTGCGCCCGACAGCAATACTCTTAGGAAAGAATGGGCCTCCTTAGCTTTTGAGGGAGAGTCTAACACATTTAAATGTGCTACTGTGAGCAGTTTATCAGTAATTCCTCAGGCTCCTAGGTCACCTGAAGGAAGAAAATGTTCTGTAATAGTTCTGTGGGGATCTTGGCGGGAACCTGGCCCAAGATCCCCACTGCCTGTATGAGGGGTACGAAGCCAGTGAAAGGATGAAATAAGAGGCCGAGACAAATTTAGTAATGCATGGAGAGATGGGAGGGTGATCTTCCCGCACACCTGGGTGCTCATCTCATTGGCCGAAAGGATGGTGATTTTCACATTCCAAAACTGGCCCACGAGGCAGATAGGGTGAGGAGAGCCTAAGATGCACTGTGTCAATTTACAATTCACAGCCCCAGCAGACCCAGGTGGCAAAGCATGTGGTCCTCTCATGGCACTGCCATGAATCAGCATTCCCGGTGGCACTGGGAATGTCCTGTGTGGCTCAAGATGATGGATGACTCCTCTGGCATGCCTTAGTAAAATTATAATTTTACTAAGACTGACTGGTGAGTGTGGGAAGGACAGCACAGGGTCTATCACTTGTCCTGGGGCTACAGGTGGGGATATATTTGACTCCACAGCCACTGGGGATGAGCCCAACTCAAAAGTCTGTGAAGAAATTGTTTCTGGAGAGAAATCTTCTCTGCAGGACTTTTTGCTGGTCTGTGTGGTTGTCCACTTAGAATTGAAGAAGAGATGACGTCAGGTGTAGATCTATTTTGGTGCAACTCCTCTGACTAACGGGTTGGTGGCTGATCAGCAGCTTGAGTAGAATATTTGAAGATCTGTGATGAGGTGGTGTGGGATGGACCACTGGGGATGGATCCTGTAAACATAGGGATGGTTTCCTGAGTAAATGGAAGACGGATTACAGAAGACCTGTTCTGCGGGTATCCATCGCTCCTTCTCGCAGAGGTCCTGATGGTTTCTCAGTGGGCCCATGAACTAATGCATACGGTATCACCACGGACACAGCATGCATTTCCCTCTCCAATGGTTACAGCCCCCCTGGAGTTAATTTGCCAATCAAATGGCAGTGTCCAACTCTGAGTACCACACGTCATCAACCTGGCAGCAGATTTCCCCTCTCCGTCCCTTTCACCATGCAAAGGGGCAGTGTTATAGTCTGGATATGGATTTGTCTTTCCTGCCCGTTAGGCTTAGGGCAATCTTCACTTGTCATCACTGAACTTACAGAATTCTTTCTTCATTTTCAAGGGTTCTAGAACCACGGAGTGAAGGGCAGAGTGACCCCTCATTTCATACCTTAGCATGTCTAAAGGATTCCTTTCCATTGCTTTACTGACTAGTTTTCAAGGCCCTCTTGGCTAAAGAAAGTGCCGTCACCACAGTCCTGGGATAGACTGGAAGCCAAGACGACTGCCACTTGGCCACTCGCAGCTCTTTACACCACTGAACCTGTATGCAAATGTGGATGTCATCATGTTAACCGCAGTGACTGACAACAGTTACCAGGCTAGGAAGCTGAGCCATTGCTGTAAAGTGAAGGCAAAGATTTTCACTGCGACTAAAGTGATTCTCCTGAATCCTTTATATTTCCTTTCCTAATGGTACTGGTTCAGTCAGAAAACTACAGTAAAGCCAGGGAGACATCAAATACTCAGGCCTCTCTTTTTTTCATCTCAAATATTTTAATATTTTTATTTGGCAAAGAGAAGGCTAAGAATTTTTGAAAAAACATCTGCAGAGGCAACGCCTTTTGCCATAAAATAAATTTATGTGATTTGGGAGGACAAATCTCAAATGTATGTTTTTGTTTATGTGCCAATTTTATAATTAGTACCAAAATCTTTGTTGAAATATTTTAAAAATGTAAAAACCAATCTAGGCAACATAGTTATACAAGCTTGCTGTAAAAGTACGTGTATCAAATCTGCCCAAAGTATTTTTGCAATATACTAAATTTCATTCCTCAAGTTCCTCTTCACTGCCAGCTGGCTTTTCTACTTTCTGTTGTCTCCATCCTATGTCCATCCTTGAGATCTTGAAGTTCAGGCCTCTCTTACAGAAGCAAAATTTGTCTCAACCCACCAGTTTAAAAATCTCATCCAGTCAAAATGCAGATCAAGGTAAAAAAAGACCATGATAACCCAGGATCAGGATAATCCAAAATCTACCAACAGTCAGTAGTGTATGTTTAGGTTACAAAACCATAAAGAAAAGCAAAGAAACATGATCAACAAAAAAATAGATAGGGCTGGGTATTTAGCTCAGCAGCATAAGCGCCTGCCTGGCAAGCCCAAGGTCATGAGTTCAATCCCTGGTATCCCACCTTAAAAAAAGAAGAATTGTGCTGAAGTGATAAAGATGCCAGCGAGAGTTGTAGAAGGGCAGACAAGACATCCCTGAGTAGATCTTATTATTTAATTTTCAGTTTTGACAAAAACAATTGTTTTTGAATTTTGAATGAAACTCAAAAATAAAATTAGTTAAAAAGCAAACCCTAAAACTGAAAACAAACAAACCTAGTTATATATCAAATCGATAATCATAACTAAAGAAACAAACTGCTTGAAGTGACTTCAGAACATAGTATTTTGTGGTGTGTTCCCAGGCATTATATTCAAGAACAAGAGAAATTCCCAGAAACCTACACTTTACTCTCTGCTTTATTGAGTAGAGCAATATTTGTATCACTACTGTGAACTGTTATCTGTATGCTGTAGGATTAAACACACATGTGCTCCTGTCAGTGTCATCAGGAGCCAAATCTTTCAATATAAGAACATGTATAAAATAAAAAATCCCATTCAATTAAAAACATCCTTAAGTTTTAATTGAGTATCTCATTGTGTGTCTTAATATCCTAGCTCTGTTTACTGAAATCAGCCATTATCATCCCTAATACTCCAGTGATGGTCTCTAAAATTAGTCCTTTACCAATTATCTTAGAAGAAACAGCCACTTCTGTATTTGGACAGTGAATAAAAACAGTGAACCCAGAGCCCGGGGTTTAGCTCAGGGGCATAAGCACCTGCCTGGCAAGCACAAGCCGTGACCTCGATTCCCCCAGGTGAACCTGGTATGTCTTGGGGTGACAGAAAGTCAAGGAGATTTTAATGGTTAATGGGATGTTTCAAAAGGACATTGGAGCCAGTTTAAAGGATGTCTCACTGGATTATTTGGGATAACCTGAATATCAGAAAGAATTGTTACTGGGATTGACATATATATCAGATATATACATACTATACTCAAAGAGGAAAAATTATAAAATTTTTTATTAGATCTATTTGGGCATGTCTATAATCCCAGCCCCTTGGAAAACTAAAGCAGGGAGGTTGCAAATTTCAGGCTAGCCTGATTAAGTTAATGAGATAGTGTTCCAAAATAAAAAATAGGACCAGGGATTTAGCTCAGTGGCATAAGTGCCTGCCTGGCAAGCATGAGGTCATGAGTTCAATCCTCGGTATCTAAATAAATAAATATATAAAAAGAGCTGGGGGTGCATCTTAGTTTGAGGCCCTGGGTTTACCCCGCATATTTACTTATTTGTTTATTTATATATTTATTGAACCAGGGATTGAACTCACAACCTCATACTTGCCAAGCAGGCGTCTGTGCCACTGAGCTAAATCCCCAGCCCTCCCAGCACATTTATTAAACACTACTAAAAATTACTATTACAACTCATTATTTCACAGATAGGTAGAAGATAAATGTAACAAGGCATGAAGGTACAAGCCTGTAATCCCAGCACTTGGGAGGCTGAGGCAGGAGAATCATTGTGAGTTCAAAACCAGACTGGATTACAAAGTGTGCTCAAGGCTTTCCTGAACTTCTGATCCTTCTGCCTCAATCTCCCGAGTGCTGGGATTACAGGTGTGAGCCACCACGCCTGACTCAAGGCATTTTTCTTTAAAAATGTTTAAACCTGACCTAATAAAGATTCAAATGTAACTTTTGGTTTACAGTAAACATAGGAGATGAACCAGCTAAACACACAGGGAATACATCAAGGGGAAGCAATCAGACAAATCTAGAAGGTGGGGAATTCTAAGGAAAAAGTGACCTGGACACTCAACAAGATCATCCTACAAGGTGTGTGTGTGTGTGGGGGGGGTGTCTATGCTAATAACAGAGAATTTTTAAAACATAATTAAGCTCAATGTTATTGTTCATACTGTGTTCTCAGCACTCTGGAAGGCTGTGACACAAGGATCACAAGCTTGAGACCAGCCTGGAAAACTTGGAGAGATTCTGCCTAGAACAAAGTGGGGAGGAGGTGGGAGCTGGGGACATAGCTCAAAAAAATGCTAGGGCTGGGGACACAGTTCAGAGGCACAGCGCCCGCCTGGCAAGTGCAAGGTCATGAGTTTGATTCCCAGTGACAAAATGAATAAATTAAATTAAATTAAACATTTAAATGCTTAAAAAGGCATTTTTGAACCATTTGAGAAATTTAAGTACAACTTTAGCATTAAACTATGGTAGGGATTTATTGTGGTTCTGCCTCATTTCCTGGAGATGCGTACTGAAATATTTATAGAAGCATTATGATATCAACAGTTTTTGTTTAAATACCAAAAAGAACCAAAAATAGCAAAATGTCAATAATTGTTAAGCCTGGATGATGAGTGTATGAGTATTCGCTAAGTGCTTCTTCTGCTTTTTTCTTTTTACTGGAAAGCAAGAGGAAACAATGATCAAATCTGAACCCTAGAAAGCTCGCTTCCTAGTTTATTAAGTGACAAAAGTGGAAGCAAAGACCAGTCCAAAATTACTGAGTGGTCCTGACAGAACCCAGCTTGAAAAGAAAGGGGTTGGGCTGGTTGTGGTGCTGCATGCCGGGCATCCCAGCACTGGCAGGCTGAGGTAGGAAGAGTACAAGTTCACGGCCAGCACAGGCAAGGCAGCAGGACCCTCTGGGTGGGGACTGATGTGAGGCAGACTTTTCAACGGAAACTATAAGATTATTGAAAAACTTTAGAGAGGAGAGAGGAAGAGAGTCAAAACTAATTAACAAAAGTTAACACGTACTGGGGCATGGTGGCACGTGCCTATAATACCAGTACTTGGGAGGCTGAGGCAGGAGGGTCATCACGAGTTCAAGGCAAGCCTGGGCTACTTAGTGAACTCAAGGCCAGCCTCAGTTACACAGCCAGACCCTGTCTCTGTCTCTCTCTATCTCTGTCTCTCTCTTTCTCTCTTTCTCTCTCTCTCTCTCTCTCTCTCTCTCTCTCTCTCTCTCTCTCTGTCTCTGTCTCTCTGTCGCTCTCTATATAGGATACATATAAATATATATATAAAACACTATGTATAGTTAATATGTAGGTGGGTGCAGGAAGAATAACTCATAGCACAGTACAATAGCTACGGTTAACAACGATTAGCTGAATACTTCAAAATAGCTAGAAGAGAGGATTCGGAATGTTCTCAACACAAAGAAAAGATCTCTGAAATGAACTGCCCACTGATTATCCTGACTGATCATTACACATTGCATGCTCGTATGGAAACGTTACAGTGTCCTATAATCGTGTGCAACTACTGTGCATCAATTCAAAGGAAAGAAATATTTAAAAATAAAGAAAAGAGTTGGGGGATGGAGGTTTAGCTCAGCGGCATAAGCGCCTGCCTTGGAAGCAGGCGGTCGTGAGTTCATCCCCGGCACCGATAAAAAGGAAAAAGACAAAAAAAAGAAAAGAAAAGAAAAGAGTGCCAAAAACGAACGCACTGCAAAGAGAAAGCCGAGCCCACGCGTGGAGTGTTTAGGACGTGCCAGCCCACCCTCGTTCCCGTGACGCACAGGGCTCTAACTCACTAGGACTCACAATACCCTACGAGGTTGAGAAGCTCAGGCACACACAGGGCGAGCCGTTGCCCGAGGCTGTGCGCCCAGTGGTGGCACTGGCATCCTTGCTCCCAAGGATGACGCCAGTTCCGTAAGCGAAGACACCTTAAGGGCCCCTGTTCTGTTCACGTCTGTGCTTCGCATCTCAAGGTTATACCCCTCGATCTAGGTGACTTTCCGGACCCCGGGGGGCTGTACCCCTTTTCCCCAACCTTGGGACCAGGAGATAGAAACAGGTCAAAAGCGGCGGGTGCCAAGTGGGAAATCTAGAGAGGCGCCCACTATTCCGCCGAGGAGGAATAGGTTGGGTAGGTCCCCCGCAAAGACGGGGTTCTTACGCCAAGTATGACGCAAATGGGCGCAAGAGCTGGGGGTGGAGATGTCGTCACCGCCCGCCTGCGGTTGGAGGACTCGCGTGGAGAGGGGCGCATAGACCCGCCTCGAAGGTGGGTGGGGAGCGGCAGGCCCCGCCTCGGCTCCGCCGGCTGCTCGGGTCGGCGCCGCTGCGACTCCGGCGGGCAAGGAGCGCTCGGAGCCGGAAGGATGCGGCGCCCGCGTCGGCCCGGGGGCTCCGCGGGAGCCGGGGGGCTCCGGCTGCTCTTCTGCCTCCTGCTGCTGAGCAGCCGCCAGGGGGGCTGCAGCGCCATCAGTGCCCACGGTCAGGAGGAAACTTGGGGGGCGGGGGGACCGGGAGCAAAACCGGCGGGGGGTGGGGAGCGGCGTCCCAAGGTAAGCGCTCAGGTAGAACAGGTGCGTGAGATGAGCGGGAAGGCGCTGGGAGAGCCGGGGAGAGGCGGCCGGCAAGAAGGGAAAGGGGCGTAGGCCGGAGGTGGGGCTGCAAACGGCGGGCGGGACCTGCGAGAAGTAAGATCCGGGTAAGTTGTGGATTCAGCAGGAGGAATGGAGGTGCGTGTGGACCGGGGGACTGAGAGACGGGGTGCATGACTAGGGACAAACCAGTCGGGCCGAGGCGCCAGGGAGGTGGAGGCCCGCGCAGAAGAGCGAGAGGGGAGAGGAGGGGAAGGGAGGGGACCCCAGACCTCGGACAGGAAGGGTCCAGCTCCCAGCAGGGACTGGGCTAAGTGGGGCCAGGTTTCTCTTTTAAGCCTACAGAGGCCAGTTGCTGCGATCTAACAGGGCCACAGCTGGAGGCGGGGACAGAAGACGGAGAGGGGAGGGTCCTCCCTGGTCCCCCTCCCCACAGCTCGGCCTAGTGCTGACTCACATCTGTGCGGACCGAGGCTGTCAGCGCTGACTCACGGGCCGGGGGTGGGGTGGGAGGGGAGCGCGTGGGGGAAGGGGTGCAGCCTCGCCATCTGGCGCCTTCTTTCCCCACCCGGGCTTGGAGGCCAGTGCAGGGAATTTCCTGTGACGCTTTGGGCTAGCCGGCTCGAGTGTAAGGTCCGGTCCCGCGGAGATTTCGCCTCCTGTCCTCCAGTCACCCCTCCTCTCGTAACGGCGAACAAACCCTTGGCCCAGCCGGGCTTTGGCTTCAGCACCGCGGACAGCGCCAGGCTGGGCCCGCGGTGGAGGGGGCGCGGCGTAGATGCCCATTCACACCCCCACCCCTGCTCAGGAGAGGCCAGCTAGTTTTCCCCTCTTCTGAGTTCCACGCTGTTACAGTTAGAATGCTACCGAAGATTTGAAAGTACCCAGGCCAAAACCCCTCCCACAGTCATTCTGAGGTGGAAGCGTAGGCCCCCCAACATTGCTCCCTCCCCTCTTCCACACACCTGTAAAGCTTCTTCTTAACTCTCAGTTAAGCAGATTGTGGCTTTTAAAGCTCCAGATTCTCAGATCTTCCTCCCATGCTTTCTCCCTGAGGCCTTCCTCTTGATGAAGGACTGGGCCTCCTGTTTCCCAGGGTCCAATTCTGGCCTGGCAGTCCTCTGACCTGTCTGCACCTCTGTCCTTCTGTCCCTCTGCAGGCTGTCTGTTTGACCGAAAACTCTGCTCTCACCTCGAAGTCTGCATTCAGGGTGAGTTAGGCCCAAATGTGAGGCTCACAGGATGGAGCACAATACAAAGCAAACAAGGGTCCTACAAGTCAGGAAGGGGGCCAGGCTTGGGAGAAGGGCACTGGCCTGGAGGGGCAGAGCTCTAAGACCAAGAGAGGAAATACACAGAGTGCCGTTCATGTGTGACCTAGATTTTGGACGGCCTCTTGTCCAAGACCCCTGATAACTCCACTTTTGTGCTCTTAGATGGCTTGTTTGGACAGTGCCAGGTGGGAGTGGGGCAGGCCCGGCCCCTTTTGCAAGTCACCTCCCCAGTTCTGCAGCGCTTACAAGCTGTGCTCCGACAACTCATGTCCCAAGGTGAGGTCTGCATGCACTGGAGGACAGAGATG